AAAAGATGAGAGGGAATCCCTTCTCCTGAGATTCAGCACATAATTCATATTGTCTTCTAACTTTAGGTAATCATTATGGGGGCCCCAAATCTAGGAATCTCTTATGCAAGAAATTCTTCCAATTTTCATCCACAGCTAAAGCATTGGAAATGACCATATAATTGGTTAGGCTTATTTCTCTGGAGAGCACTCTTTGGAAATGACAATGTTATCAGGAGAAATAAAAAGAACATTGTAGAAACTGCCTTGTTTTTGCCATTCTGTAATTCATTTAATTCTGGTTGCATGACAGTAGCCACTATAGAACCACAAGATCAAAATTTCAATATCAGGAAGCAGTGCAAGAGCTTGTTCTATCAAGTATAACAATGCAATGTTCCCAATATGCCGATCACGTCCTCTGAGCCTGCGAAGTTCTGGAATCAATGGACAGCAAGTCAAAATAAGCAACATCTGCCAGCTCCTTACCAGATGCCAGATAATCTGCTCCCCTACTCGTCCAATTCAATTTCCTAACAGCTAAAGAAAAGGTCTACAGCCCATTTTAGATCCTTTAATAATTGTGTCATTATTTATTTGGCTTCTGGGCACATCCTGTGCAAACTGGAGTAACAAGCACAATACATGGCCAACCGATAGCCCAACTACTTACTGTTCATCGATGGACAAAGAGATTAAATTAAAAGGAAGCTGCTTTGCTGGGAAAGTCATGGAGGAAAACCTTAAACAAAAGCACAAGCAAAGACCACTAATGCCACACTTGAGTTCAGGAAATAGCTCAAAACTGCCAATGTCTGTATACAACTTGAAGTCACTGGACTTGCTGCCCAACTCACAGTGGAAGATGGCACATAGGTTGCATCTTGGCGAGAGAAACAAGTTGAACATAGCTAAAATACCGATGTGAAATAGGATGCTTTCAAACAAAAGCATTTCAGCAGCATTTATCTCTCTCGAAAGTATTCAATTCCCGTGTTTAAAATGCAGTGAAGAAGCTGTGGCACCCACTGACACCATCATCTGAGGCCCTTCTTTGTGTGCCTCCTCGAGGGGTCCACAGGGTGGCAACATGAGAATGGGCCTTTTCTGCGGTGGTTCCCCATTTGTGGCATGCTCTCCCCAGTGAGGCTCACCTGGCACCTTCATTACATATCTTTAGGCACCAGGCAAAAGCATCTCGGCCTCTGGCTGATTAACATTCTATGGCCTTATAAATGTGTTTGTGGGAGGGGGGTTATTGAATCATAGAATTGTAGAGTTGGAAGGGACACTGAGGATCATCTAGTGCAACCCCCTGCAATGCAGGAATATGCAGATGTCCCATATGGGGATCAAACCTGCAACCTTAGTGTTATCAGCATCACGCTCTAACCAACTGAGCTAGCTAGGCTGTTTGTTTTTGTTTTGTTTTTATTAGTTTGTTTTAGTTTTATTATTTATTTTGTGTCCTAATTTTGTATTTTTATGTTGTGAACTGTCTGTGATCTTCAGATGGAAGGCTGGTATACAAATTTAATAACTAATCATAATGTGTGGCTCAGACAGAGGCAGTAACCCAGTGGCTTATGGGGCGGAAACCCAGAGGAAAAATGGGACTTCCTGAAACCATTGGTTTATTTACTTGTACAAACCTTCTCTAATGCATACAGTGTGGAGAGCAGAAAGTTATTTGCCTAATTTGTTGCTAGTTGGAAAGTGTGCAAATGGCTGACTAACCACAATTCTTAATCCCTCTTAGGAGTTACCATGTTTTCAGTGGCAAAGTTGGCACATAAAAGGATGCATGTTGGAGGAACTCGCAAGTCACATCAAGCATGAGGCAAAGGCAGATAAACTCTCCATCAGACAAACACACATATGCATGATGAAATCCATGTCTATCAGTTGAGACTTTGCTACTTAAGTAAAAAAAAGGGGGGGCTGGTGATTTCAAGGAGCGCAGTTTTTCAGCCTCTTCAGCACATGAAGCGAAACCAGCAAACGTGCAAGATTTCCCATATCCTTCATGTTCCGCCACCTGGTGGGACATTTCCTCAAACTTTTATGAGCTCCGGGTGCAGCACTCATTTACTGTCCCTCCCTTGCAGATCTTGCAAACATCTTCATCCCCTACCTCTGAGATCTAACAGGAGAGCAGGAAATCTCACAGGACCAGCATAAAATCACACACATGAACCTTAGTCTACATCCCCCCCCCCCCGCCCAAAAAGACCCCCGCCAGCTGAAACATCAAAAATGAAGCTTTTATCTTTTTCTCGGTCCTTGCCTCTATTCCTCCACACTACACCTCTCCACATATGCCCCCCACATTTTCTGACAAGAGGGTAAAACCACATCAGACAATTCTGCTCGCCTAATCCTCTTCCCATCATCGACCAAGAAAGAGCATTCAAAGCTCACGATGCTGCCGATTGTGTTGCAAAGAGGATTCCCTCCACCTCCTCCCCGCCCCCAGTTTAGAAAGGTGACTTCCATTCCTGATACATACATCATTTTGAAAGAGCGTTGTACTTTATTTAAAATCATTATGCACACAATAAATGCACAACAATAATAACATAAAGAGCTTCAGCAGGGGGCCTCAGAAGACGGCTTGCATTTCCAAGCATGCCCCCCAACAGGGACAAGAGAAACAGACTAAAAAAAAAAACCCCAATGCGAAGGCAGCTCCCGGGCGCTTTCCCAAGCCAACGGCAAGCGCATGCCCTCCGGCGGTAGCGTTTGCCCCGGAGGGGCTCCTGCAGCCAGCCAGCCAGCCAGCGAGCCTTACCGTCATCCTGCATCCTCTGCAGACACAGAGTCAGGTTCTTCCTCCAGCCCGGCATCCCGGCACAGGGTCAACCTGCTCGCGCTTGTGCACAAGCCCCGAAGGTGTTGGCGGCGGCGGCGGCGGCGGCGGCGGCAGGCTTCCCCTCTTGGGTAGAATAAGGCTAAGCGGAGAGTTCCCCACGCCACCCCCGCCCAGCACAGCACGCCGAAAGTGTTGTGGCTCGGAGAGAGGCGAGCGCGGGCAGCGAGCCGCTGGGGGAGCCAGGCTGCCTGCTCGGCCACGCTAGGCATTGATCCGCGCCGCGTGCTCCATCTGGGTTCGGGGCCGGCAGGAAGGAGGGGAGCGGGCGGGGAATCGGCCGAGGAGGCGAGTGCGCGGAAGGGCCCCGTGTAGAAAGCGAGATACAGAAGGTGCGCGGGAACTAGCGGTGCCCCGAAACCTTTCCCGCCTGCCCTGGAGTGACTGAGGTACGTCCACGGCAGCCGCAGCTCTTAATGTGTGGGGACCGTACTATGTGACAAGAGAAGCCAGGGGAGGAGGAGGAGGAGGCGGAGGGAAAGAAGGGGAGTTCGCCTTCCAGTCCAATCTTTCGACGTCCAGGAGGATCCCGCCGCGGGCTTCCGGGCTTCCGCGAGCGCCTGGCCGGCCCAGGTCTCTAGCGCGCGCCTTCCCTTCTTTCCGGGCGCTCGCGTCTCATTCCCTGCAGGCGCCGCCGGCCGAGGGAGTGCAGGCCGCCGGCTCAGGCTTCAGCCGCGCGCGCTGGCTCTGCTCGCGCTCGGCCGGCATCTTCTCTCGGCGCAGGTGAGCGGGAGGAGAAGGGCTCCTCCGGCGACAGCGGGAAGCAGCAGCTCGGGCACCTGGTTCGCTCGCCGCCGCCTTCCCGCGCTTTCGACCTTTTTTTCCGCCTCAGCCGCCGCTCCTCGCACGTGGCGGGAGTCTCTCCGGCGACCCCCGCGGTCCAGAAGGAGGAAGGGAAAGTAGCTGAGGCGAGAGGCGACGCTTGCCCGTCTCGCTAGGCAGCACATGGGAGGCGGGGTGGTGGGGCAGCCACGCGCACTCCTCGCCTCCCAGCTCTGGGCGCCTCACCCGAGCAAGGCTTGTCGGAAAGGAGGCCGGCGCGCCCCCCCCCCCGGCTTGGGTTGAGGGTATGTAGGGTACGCTTCTGCAACGGAGAAGGAAGAGGCACGCGGGGGAACGGCGCTAGTCAACACGTCGAAGGGGAGCGCTTGTTAATGGCTGGGCGGCTGCCTGCGCCTCCACTTCCACCCCCCGAGGAGGTGCGAGCGACGCCGGGTCCTCGAAGGGGGCGGAAGGCCGGCTCTTCCACAGCCCACACAGGCGAGCTGCGCGAAGCTCGAGACGCGTCTGGCGCGCGCGCACACACCTCGCTTTCCCCGCCAACCGCCCCCTACACACACACACACACACACTTCCACTTTCTTTTCCCTTTTTAAACTTATTTAAAATGTCTATGTGCTGCTTCTGGGAGCCAGTGTGGTGTAGTGGTTAAGAGTGGTGGACTCGTAATCTGGGGAACCGGGTTCAAGTCTCCGCTCCTCCACATGCGGCTGCTGGGTGACCTTGGGCCAGTCACACTTCTCTGAAGTCTCTCAGCCTCACTCACCTCACAGAGTGTTTGTTGTGGGGGAGGAAGGGAAAGGAGAATGTTAGCCGCTTTGAGACTCCTTAAAGGGAGTGAAAGGCGGGATATCAAATCCAAACTCTTCTTCTTAGGGAAACCCATCTCAAGGCCGTTTAAAACAAAAGCCAGTAGAGGCGGTGCTATATATTTTTCTAGAAAAAGAAGTGCCAGAAGTCACCATAAACCATGCTCTCTTACAATGGCAATGGCGCCCCCCTAAGAGGTGCCGGAACTGAGTTCTAGTTGAGCTGAAAAGAGCCCTGGTTAGAGGTACAGTCATACCTCTTGTTGCTTTGCTTCAGGTTGCACGTTTTCAGGTTGCGTCCCCGCAGCAACCCAGAAGTACCAGAAAGGGTTACTTCCAGGTTTCACCACTCGTGCAGACACGCAAAATGATGTCATGCACATGTGCAGAAGTGGCGAATTGCAACCCACAGATGTGGGTTCCATTCTGCTCATGTTGCGAACGGGGCTCCAGAACGGATCCCGTTCGCAACCAGAGGTACCACTGTACTACAAAGACAACAAAAGAAATTTAGCAGAGTGTAGCAGTCCCTACAAAAATAAAAGAATTGTCCAGTAGCACGTTAGAGACCAACTAAGTTTGTTCTGGGTATAAGCTTTCGTGTGCATGCACACTTCTTCAGATACCTGAAGAATGCACACAAAAGCTTATACCCAGAACAAAATTAGTTGGTCTCTAAGGTGCTACTGGACAATTTTTTTAATTTTTTTTATATATTTTGGCTGCGTCAGACCAACACGGCTACCTACCTGGATCTAATCCCTACAAAAATTACTGTAACTTTAAAAGTTATGGCAGTTGGCCCACATCAACAGCCGGCAAATGCCTCAGTCAATAGGTGTGTTTGGTGTCTCAAATTTCAGTGGCACCCTCTGCGACGCAAAAATTCAGCACCCCCTGCCTCTCACCTTCCATTCTGTATCATAGCTGCGGTGGCCCTCCCCCCCAAGACTCTGTGCCCAGTGCAGCTGTACCGGTTGTGCCTCCTAAATCCACATCTGTTGCATTGCTGCCGGTGCACATGCCTTGTTGCTGAAGGAAGGTTATTTGAAAGAGAGCATGAGGGGATAGAAAAGGTGTGTGGTCTGTGCTCTTGGTGATGCTACCTTAAGTGGCGGGAAGAATGACGAAGTTACCAGCATAAATGGATGGACCACCTACTTTTGCCAAAGAGGGATACAAACTTGAAGAGGCGCAGAACTCCTGTTCAGGGAAGGCTACATATATGGCAATATTGATTTGCAAGGTAGATGTGTGATTCAGAGGCATAGAGTTCACTTCCAGGTGATGTGTTTATTAAGCATTCCCCCTGACTTGTTTCCACAGTTTTTCCAAGGCTGCTACACTGTATCATACACAGAGGCGTAGGAAGGTCAGGTGGTATCCAGTGCGGAGAATTTCTTGTCACACACACCCACACACATTGAAATTTTTTCATATTTTTTGGCCTGCAAAAATTGTTTTTGCTTATTTCATATTTTCTTACAAAGGAATGTGGATTCTGGGCCTCTGATAACAAGTAGGCTACTATGGACAGATAAAGCTACAGGATTGATTATGTTTTGGCTTGCGTTATTTTATTTATAGTTATTGTTTGTTTATTTATTTAATAAAATTTATTTTTAAAAACCTGCAAACTGGTTTACCAAAACAAAAAACAAAAAAACACCACAGCAGTAAAATCAAGAAAAATCGGCTGTTGCAGGGGGCGGGGCAAAGGCAAGGCAAAGCCTAATCTACTCGGCCTAGACTCATTTTCTTCACATAGGCTGACTTTCCAGGACCCGGGAAGCCCAGCAGAGTGTAAGGTAGTAGGGTGGTTCATAATTTTTTTTTTTAATGCCTGCTCCAAAGGTCTTATCTTACTAAACTAGGGGCTATATAGCTATATCTGAAATTTCATGCATATCAGTTAATATCTTGACCCTGCTCCACTGAATTGAAATTTCAGCCTTCACAACATAGGAAAACGGCCAAGTAAACAGCTATTTTTGTGGAGGAGGGTCAAGATATTAACTGATATGCATGAAATTTCATATATAGCTATATAATCCCTAGTGCAGTAAGAGAAGACCTTAGGAGCAGGCATTTAAAAAAAAAAAAAAGTTTTTTTATGAACTGCCCGAGGTAAAGGTAAAGGGACCCCTGACCATTAGGTCCAGTCGTGACTGAATCTGGGGTTGCAGCGCTCATCTCACTTTATTGGCCGAGGGAGCCAGCGTACAGCTTCCGGGTCATGTGGCCAGCATGACTAAGCCGCTTCTGGCGAACCAGAGCAGCGCACGGAAATGCCGTTTACCTTCCTGCTGGAGCGGTACCTATTTATCTACTTGCACTTTGATGTGCTTTCGAACTGCTAGGTTGGCAGGAGCAGGGACCGAGCAGCGGGAGCTCACCCGGTCGCGGGGATTCGAACCGCCAACCTTCTGATCAGCAAGTCCTAGGCTCTGTGGTTTAACCCACAGTGCCACACACGTCACATGAACCACCCTAGTAGGGCAGTAATTGTTCCTTGATAATTTGTCACCCCCCTCTATGATGGCACCTGGGCCGGACCCCCCCTCCCCCCCTTTCCTACACCCCTGATCATACAGATTTGTTTGTTATTCCTTCGACGGCCAAGGGAGCAAGGGGGGGTGATGTCCATCTTCCTCATGGGCACATCTTACTCAATGGAAGAAAGTATAAAGTGGTCCCAGGGGGGCAAAAATAAAATAAAATCCTAATGTCACTTATACATAGATGGGGGTTTGAACTGGAGGTGAGGCCAGGAAGGAGATGTAGGAGTTGTAGTGAATAGCTCAATGAAGATGTCAACCCAGTGTGAAAAAGGCAAATTTTGTGCTTGGGATAATTAGGAAAGGGACTGGGGGGGGGGCGGCTGCCAATATCATTATACAAATCTATGCTTCCACCACACTTGGAATACTCTGTACAGTTCTGATTGCCTCACCTCAAAGAATACAGTAGAGTTGGAAAAGGTGCAGAAAAGAAACCAAAATGATCAAGTGGGTGGAGGAACTTGCCTATGAAGAAAGGTGCTTTTTAGTTAAAACAAAAGGCAAATATAAGGGGACATGGCAGAGGTATTTAAAATTATGCACAGTGTGGAGGGGGGGAAAGAGAAGTTTTTCTTCCTCACAAAGCTAGAACCTGGGGTTACTCAGTGAAACTGAATGCTGGAACTCAAGAGCGCGAGTCCTTTTCCACAGTTAAACTATAGAAGTCATTATCACACGATGTAGTGATGACCACCAACTTGGACTGCATTAAAAAAGGATTTGACAGTTTTAATGGACAATAAATCAATTAATAGCTACTAGCCACAATGGCAAAGTTCTGCCATATGCCAAGGTTCTGCCATATCAGTTGCTAGGAATCACACGTGGGGAAAGCACTGTTGAACTCAGGTCTTGCTTGTGGGCTTCCCACAGAAATCTGGTTGGCCACTGTGAAAAAAGAATGCTTGACTAGATGGACCTTTGGACTGATCCAACAGGGCACTTAATAAGTTCATCATCAGCATCAAAATGTCAGCCTCATTTAATCTGGATTTTTTAAAACAACAACAGAAAATCCAGTAAGTTTAAACACACACACACATCTGTTGACTGCACATCATGTGTTCCAGCTATGGTCCATCAAGGCCATATGCACATCACAAGATAGCATCTTTGCTTGTTTTGCTCTCCCCTTCATAGAATCATTGAATTGGGAGGGATCCAGAGGATCATCTAGTCCCTGCGACACAGGAATCCTGCCCACAGTGACTCCTGGGTGGGCTTGAACCACCAGCCTTCTGGTTAACAGCCATATGCATTTGACCCATTGCACCCATGGAACCAGTAATGCCATTCACTATTTTTTAATGGTCATAGACTATGTGTGACCTCTAAAGATGCCAGTATTCCTTTCCATATCACTTGGCTTTTGTCTGCTTTCAGACTGGATGACCTAGAACCAAAGGAGATCTTCCATGATCTGGCCTTTTTTCAAAAGTTTGGCTGATACGGATGACTTAGTTTTAAGCAAGTAAACATCTTTCAGCCATAACTGGGAGCCTGAAGTCAAGCTGTCTGTAGGCAGAAGTAAAGCACGCATCATTGGTTTTCATGGTCCAAGCCGAAAGAAGGAAACAGACACATGGTGGTGGGAAGAATAAAGGAACATAAAATTTTTTTTTCACGGAGTGTATTTGGCAGTTGGTTGCCTTTCTAAGTACGCAATTAGGTGAGCAAAGTAGTTTTGTCTCCAGTCTCAATGACACACACACACACTTGTGTGAATAAGGTGGCAGAACTCAGTCTAAGTTTTATAGGGTTTTTTTCTTTTCATTTTAAATGACTGCTCACAAAGAGTTAAGAATCTATGCCTATGGCCTCAAAAATATCTCACTGATTTCACAGTATTCAGCAGAGCCATAACATAAGGATAACAAAGGAGACGTGCATGACACAAAGTTTGCAGGGTTTTTTAATTTCCTGGAGGACGACATTTCTTAGCAGTGACTGGCAGATCTTCCTGTACTTTGCCAGGCCTTTATTAGCAGACCAGTAGGTCTCAATATGGATCTCTCTCTATTGTAGGATTGATTACATTGTCGGCAGCGAGAGATAACCTTTATGAGGTTACAGAGTAAACACTCACTCTCATACCAGCAAAAAGTGTGCAGCAGATTGGCCAAGTTTTGCTGCAGACACTTTCCCCATAACCACTGGACAGCTGGCACATTTTTCATCCCATAGTTGTTTTTGTTGCTGTTAGTTACCATATTTTTCGCTCTATAAGACGCACCAGACCGCAAGACACATCTAGTTTTTGGAGGAGGAAAACAAGAAAAAAAATATTCTGAATCTCAGAAGCCAGAACAGCAAGAGGGATCGCTGCGCAGTGAAAGCAGCAATCCCTCTTGCTGTTCTGGCTTCTGGGATAGCTGCGCAGCCTGCATTCGCTCCATAAGACGCACACACATTTCCCCTTACTTTTTAGGAGAGAAAAAGTGAGTCTTATACAGCAAAAATTACAGTAATTTATATACCACTCAGTACCCAGGTAGGCTTCCAAGTGGTGTACAAGTCTAAAAACCAATTACACAAGCATTAAAATTTAAACATCCATAATTACAACACACAGTAAAACAATCCCAGTCAAATACATGCACCTGTAATTAAAATATGCAAGAACACAACCCCATTAAATTGACATGGTAATTAAAACAAGAGGCTCAGGCTAGAGATCAAGAGAATGCTTGTGTAAACATGTGCATCATCAAAAGCTGATGGAATGTCAGTAAAGCTAGGGCCTCCTGTATTTCAGCAGGGAGCAGACTTCATAGAATGGGTACCACTAGCAAAAAGGCCCACCTCTGCCAACTAATCAGCATTAGGCTGTGGCAGGAATAACCTGGTTCCGTTTGCTTACCATAATGCTGGTACTAAGCAATGAAAGGGAAGTCAATATTTCAGGTACCCTGGTCCAGAGCTACCGGATAGTTGCATCCCATGGACACTTTGAGAAGGAAGTAGGAGTTGGTGAAGGCACCACCACCAACTCTCAAACACAGAATGGTCTGCAGGAAGTCCCACCCCTCTTTTTCAATTGGCAGTTGGCGCGATAGCAGTGTTTTATGGGTAAAGTTCTCAGGGATGGCCCATCCTGTTTTGTCACCAGGAGTAGTCAACATGGTGCTCTCTAAATGTTGTGGGTCATATTCATAAAGCACGTTTTCAATCACATGACTTCCCTCCCCCAAGAATCCTGGGAACTGTAGTTTATTAAGGGTGCTGGGAACTGCAGTTCTGTCGGGGTGTGTGCCAGAATTCTTGGGGGGGCAGCAATATGCTTTAAATGTATGATGTGGATGTGATAATAGATTACAACTTCATCTGTCCCAGCTTTCTGACTCAAATCCTCTACCTCATTCCCTGAAGAAAGAGAATCTGATCCTGGGGTCATGACAGCTATTTAGTTTTAAAACAACAGTGGAAGGCCAAATAATATGAATTGTGCCACATGAGTTTGGCCCTCAGTGACCCCATTTTATCTTTATGTCTGTCAGCAGTCACCACTGGAATTTTGTATTAGAGGAAATGATTTCTGTTTTAAAACTAGTTGTGAGTAATTGCAAAGTCTGCTCACTGTAGTATAAAGGTAGCAGATGGCCATCAGTCCTATAAATGGCATGTACATTTCACCTTTGCAAAGAGTAATTCAACACATTTCTAATAATAAAAAATAATAGTTTGGACTTTTCCTTTGATGTCAGGAATCAGCATTGTCAAAGGACACAGTCGTAAGAGCAGCACTGATAAAAGATAGTGTATTAATTTGATTATGGGGTAGCTAGCAACTTCAGAGGAGCGGTATTGAATGCTTTAACAGTATTTCCACATTTAAATTACCTGGTTTTGCAAACTTCTGTATATTACAAAAGGGTTGGATCAGGTTGTTCCTTCCCCACTTCTCAAAAGTCTGGATACCAGGTATTTTTCCCCTCTAGAACTTCAAACACTGATGATAAAAAAGACCCCTGTTCCATGGAGCTACTTGCTCTATGTCATGGGGGCTGGGTATGCAAATCTCGATCTCAGCTGTTGATTCAGATAACATAATAGATGCAGAGTGAACAACACCTCGGGTCATAAACTCCAGTTGGCTGATCTCAGTCGACATTCTGGCAGCAGCACCCCAGTTGAAATTTGCAGGTGCTTTTGAAGGGGAGACCCACATAGAACACGTTAGAGTAGTCCAGTCTGAAGGTTACTAAAGAACATAAGAAGAGCTCTGCTGGATCAGGCCAAAGAGCAAATCAGGTGCCTATGGGAAACTTGAGCAGCTCCTGAGTGCTCCCCTCTACCTGCTTTTCTCAGCAACTTGGACTCAGAGGCATATTAACAGTGGAGGTAGACCAACATTCATTCATTCATTCATTCATTCATTGCTTGCATTCATATCCCACCGTTGTCTCCAAGGAGCTCAAGATAGCTTGCATGGTTCTCCTCCCATCTCTTTTAATCCCCACAACAGCCTTGTGGAGGAAGTTAGGCTGAGAGACAGTAAATGGCCAGGGACGTCACCCAGTGATGTTTTACAGGCAAGTGGGGGCTTGAACCTTGGTCTCCCAGGTCCTAACTGCAACACCATATTGGCTAGGTCTGCCTTCCCCAGGATAAGGTGCAGCTGGCGTACCAGCCAAATCTGGTAAAAAGCATTCCGCCACCTAAGCTTCCAAAAGCAGCCCTACTGTGCCTCATTGTCCCCTTTCTCACATTCTAGTATTTCTCAGAGGATTGCTTTCAAGTTCCACAGCCGCTGCCGCGTATCGATTTCTGATCCGCTGATGGAATCTTCGGCTCGTAATTCAATCTACTGGTGCAACTGACCACGTTACCATGCGACCCTGCATAGTCTCCTATTCCAAGTTGTCAGCAAAGGAGCATGAGCTCCTTTTCCACAATTGCTTCATGCTAATAACTTGCGCTTGTAATTGTGTAACGCAGGAGACAACAGCTGTTCCGCCTTTCATTCCGACTGGATCAATTTTGAGTTCCAAAATCTTGGCAGTTGGCATCTCAGTCGTGGGTACGCCGCAGATGTGATGCAATGTCTTCCACGGCTAATTTAGCTCAGATTTATTCAGCAGAGCCCTTTGTGGGGCAACTGGAAACATTTTTACCATCTTTCAGATTGTTTGAGTAAATTTGCTCCTCTGCATATTTCCACCAAGAACCCCATACATTTTGGTTTCCTAATTTTCTTGAACAAATCCAGCTAATGAAGCTCACGACAAGACCCAATTTGTTCATCTTTCTTCCCACCTGCCCCCCCAAAACTTCAGTTCCATGTTAAACTTCACATGGGAATTAAATGGTAGTCTTACTCAAAAGTAGACCCAAGGAAATTACTAACCTAAGTTAGCCATGCCCATTAATTTCAATGGGTCTACCCTGAGGAGGACTAACATAGGATACAACCGAAATTTCAAATACAGATTCCTTGGATGTGACATACATATATCCCATGCAAGTTTCCAGTACAGGAAATATATCTCACATACATACATGGCACGAGCAATTTCCATTGTTTTTTCTTTGGAATTAAACCTGGACCTCGAGTTGTTTATTTGTTTTATCGCTTGGGAGCACTAGATGGAGAGGGCAATTAAATTGCACAGAGTCCTCACGTGCAAAAAATGAGAAAAACCTCCCAGAAAATTTAAGGTGCCTTTCTTTCTTTCTTTCAACCCACCAACTAATTTTCTATTTCAAGTCAAGTTTTCTGGGCAGTCATGGCTGGTGTCCCCCCGCCCCCCTTGTCTGTGCTGCTAACCTGTGACTAACATACATCATTTATTGCACATCTCTGGTGTATACTGTTGCTTTATCAAGTGCAGGTGTTTTCAGCAGTTGCCTAAATCTTGGTGGCATTTCAATACAATGACATCTGGGGCTGATCTGCAAACTTGGTGTGTAGTGTAAGCAAATCCTTCCATGCTTTGTGTGTATACAGGCTTGCTCTGGGGACTTCATTAAAACCCAGTGGCGTGTTTGTTAAGTGCATTCTGTACCTTGCCAAGTTTGCTATTGACTTCACAAGGAATTGTGTGCTGCTGTATAATCCTCAGTATGAAAAGAAAACTCCATACATTTCTTAATTGCAAAATTGTTATTTACCTTTTGTTAATCAGATAATGTGTCTTTTTCTGGTCCTTAATCTAGGAAAAATAATTTATCAAATACATTTTTAACCCTGTCCAGCCTTTTCTATATGCCAAGCTTCCTCAAACTCGGCCCTCCAGATGTTTTTGGCCTACAACTCCCATGATCCCTAGCTAGCAGGACCCGT